AAGACCTGCAGTGTGAACGTAGCCTAAGAAGGTTCATGTTGTTACCTGTCCATGGGATGTACTCAGGCTCTGCAGCAGCATTTTCAGACGCTCTGTACATGGAGGCCTTCATGTCTCTGTACTGACCAGCAGCTTGAAGCATGTCCTACACACACACACACACACACACACACACACACACACACACACACTAAATTTGAAAGACTACCCATACACTTAAAAATGAAGCCTAAGTTTTAACGTGACCGCATATTTACCTTGATGACGTTGTTGACTGTGAGGACCACTTCGGCCCACTGCACCGAGTCGACTGGACTCTCCTTCAGACTCCGCTCCTCCTCCTCCAGCAGACAGTCGAACACCAAGGAGATCTGAGAGACCTGTGAGAGCACAACAACAGTCCAATGACCGTCTATTACACAAACAAACTGTGATACCTTCTCGCTGCCAGAGACTCAAACCTCTCTGAAGAAGACGTCAGCAGCGGTGAGGCTTTGCGGCACGGCGGTGTTGTTCCTCTGCAGCGCTGTGCTGATGGCCCGGTTCACTAGTTCAGAGTGTTTGGTGTGATGATTTTTCAGCACCATGGCTGCTTGCAACTTCTCGGCGTGTTCACACAGCAGCAGGCGTGTTGCCATGGGAGATGAACGTACAGTCACCTGAGTGAGTCGGTCCAGCAGTCCAACCTGGCAACAGAGGACGATGGTGGCTTTTGAGAGGCAACTGGACTGATGCATTTCTAAATTCAGCCTTTGAGTTTTGATTTGCATCACATTTTTATTTGCAGCCCTGTTTGTATGTCAGTAAAAGTACGTTTGCAATCTAATGTACAAGCTGATCTTAATTTAGTTTAATTTAATCATTTTCCACCAACAAGCTTAAAGTGTGCCTTATAAAGTGAACTTGGAGTGTGTGCACACATGCAAAAGTGCAGGTTTCTTTACCTGCAGCAAAAACTCCATGAAGCAGCCATGGGCCTTCATCTTATCCTCCAGTTGGTGAAGGATGATGAGGGAAGTGAGAGGAAAGCCAGCGCTCTCTTCAAATCCCAGAGAGAGAAGAAAAAAAAAACAAAACAGTTCAAGTCTTTTTCCAACACACACATTAAATGCAAAGTCGGATAGTGTATCAGCTTATCAGAAACCTTACAAGCACTAGTTTCATACAATATCCAGAGCTTTTCATTGGTTGGTTAATAACTTAAACTTCTTGTGTTTTGTTTCCTCTCGTCTCAGCTCACCATCGGGGACAGACTCGGCCCAGCGAGGGTCAGAGGCCGGGTAATCGTCCACCAAATCAAGGTTGATTTGAGTCACCATGGTGTCCAGCTCAGCTCCCTCCTCCCCATCGCCGTCAGCTGGGAACAGCTCATCTATGACTGTCTGAGCCCCGACCAGGTCATTACTGACAGAGGAGAGAAGGAGAGTTATAGACTTGTCCTCTCAGTGCTTTTTAAGGGCTCAGAGAGTTTAGAAATGTGTTAACATAGAATGTAGAATTATTGTAGAGACACTGACACTGCCCTCAATGTAATAAAGGCCTGACTGTGTCATGAACTTAGGAG